CAGATCTTGATGTAAGATGCTTAATTACGAAATAATTAAAAAATATAAGTTTCGCCGTTCATTTAATATAATTAGATATAATAAAATAAAAATAAGATTATTTACGCCATATATTATAAAGATAAAGCGATAAAGTCAAAAATATGAATTTCTCATTTTATTTTATTGTCCACGTCCATGATAATACGTTAGCCTCATTTCTTTCGAAACCTGCGTCCATGTTGTTGAACTTTTCATTAAGCTTCTGAAATTTAGATGAAAAATTAAATCAATAAAAATTTAGAATAAATAATATTAAAAAGTTTTTTTCTTAAATTATGTGCGTTGTTTAATATTGGATAAAATGTAATTGTTACTATTAAACTTTATCTTATAATTCATACATTCGAGAGAATTCGAGAATACATGTCTAAATATTTTCCGGATCCAAAAGAGACCCTAATATTTATATATATGTACAAATATATATTTTCAAATTGATGATAATGTTTGCTAATTGTATGTAAATCAAAAGTTGATGACATATTTAAGATTAATGTAACAAAGTTGATATTTATTAACTTCTAATGCTTTCAAAACACAAATGTATGCGCTATACGTAGATAATTTATATATTTATATATTTATATGATAAAAAGACTAATATTTGAATTTCTTGCGCTTATTGCACATGAATACAAGTATTTGCAGTAATCATTGTTGTGCTTAGAAAATTTTAAAATTAGCTAAATAAAGATGAGAAGAAAAACTATATATATAAGTTAATTTTCGATAAGATAGAGAGATATGTTTTTGATTTAAATATTACTTAGATAAAAGATAAAATTACACGGCGATTCATCTAGATAACTTATACAGCTAATATTATTTTTAATACCGCTTATGTAAACACAGTTCAAAAACAATGTAAATTATTAAAGGGTATTCATACTTATGTTTATTAAACACTAAGATTACCTCAAGGCTCTTTAGGATCAAATATATGTATATGCAACTATGTTTATTAGAAATATATTCACTGTTATAATTTCTATTGCTTATTAATTAAGTTCTACTAATTAAGTATTTTTAAGTGCTATAACTCTAAGTAAAATTATTTAACCATTATTTTAAATCTGAATAATTTAGTGAAGATAACACTCTTTCTCATTTAAAATGCATAGATAATACATAATTTTATTGTCTATGTAAATATAAGAATAAAACCAAAATATCATCTAGATGATCATCTGTATAATTTTATTTAGTGTTTGTTAAACAGTAAACACTGCAAGTAATTGAGAAAAAATAAAAAATAAAAATACTATTTAGTTTAACACTTATAGTGCTTTAAGATACAAATGAATTTAATAGAACTGATTTAAATATTTATAATAGTTAAAACAAAAGTGGCAACATTTGATTATAATGTGCTTATTGTTCATAAAAATGCATGCAATAATTGAGAAGACATAAAAAATAATATTTTATCTCAATTATAAAAGTTATTGCTATTTACCATTAGGGCGTTCTGGTGAAACGAAATTTTTTGCAGCTTCTCTTCCCGTCCTTATTGATTGGTGAGGATTAAATTTATGATCAAGAACCAAATGCCCAAATAAACATGCATACGGCATGTATGGGTGTTGTACCCAATTGCAATTAGGTTCTTTGCATTGTTTCTCTAATGGTCTATTCCTGCTATTACGGGATTTTATTTTATAATATGGTGATATCCATTTATCTATGTTTATATTGCGAGTTTTGATATGGGTTCCTACGAAATGTACTTGCATTTCTAGCATCTTAATTCGATCGAATGGAAACTTTACTTCACAATCTTTAAGACATTTTGCATAGACCTCATCGCCATCATCGCTTATGTAGAAGTAACGCCAAATCATATGAGGCCAGGGGATAGTTGATCGCTTCATAGATTTTGTCCAGTCAGAGTTATGTGTATCAATTATATGCTGGCAGATACATCTTACGGATTTAAATAGTAATTTCTTATAGGCACATAATCTACATTGTGCAACGTTAGTTTTCATTGTAAAAAATCTCATTATCCAATTCTCGTTTTTTTCTGCCATCGTCGATATGATGTTCCTTTTACTATCACCGATTGTGTTCCACGAGAAAATGTTTTTCCAGTCACGCAAGAAGTGACTCTAACTAAACAAAAGAAAAAGATCGCGAATAAATGTTCGTTTCCATCGAAAATGACACATGTACACAGTTTAAATCTACTTAATGTCTCGAATTTCCTTGTTATTTTTCATCATTTGTTTACAATAATAACATTTTGGAAGTGACAAAGATATATTTATAACTATGTTTATATACATATACGTTATAAGGACAGACACAAATATGTAGAGAGAATTTTTCGTTATATTTGTCCGCAAAATTTACTACAAATTTTATCATGTTTGAAAATAAGTCGAATAATAATTACTAAACTCTATGTTAAAAATTATGATAATTTTGTTATATGATTATAGATATGATTTATGCGTGCCAATAATCTTCGATCAATCTTCATAATGATATAATTACATTTTGCAGTTTTACTTTCCATTGTATAATATTTCATTAGCCAGTCCTCGTTTTCAAATCTAATATCGTAACGATAAAATTGAAAATATTATGCTGTATTAAAATTTATATAAAATATGTTTATCACTTTCTCTGGCATACATTCGATTTATGAAAACACTTCAAGGAGAGAAAATCAGAATATTTTAATATATTAAACATTCTCGAAACTTTATTATATATATTTATGCAAATAAACTTAAATTAAATTTATATCTTATTGTTGTAGATATGAATATTTTTTATCGCGGTAAATATTAATCAGAGAAATTCTAATATAATTCTTCCAGTACCACATTGTCTCACGGTTACCATACATTTCAGGTTAAATGCTAATGGAAAAAAATTCTCTCTGTATGTATATATATATATATATATATATATATATATATATATATATATTGTATATATATATATATATATATATAAATATGTATGTATGTATATTATATGTATATGGGCATGTATGTGTAAGTACGTAATGAAACATTATTAGAGAGAAATTGGAGACATTGAACAGATTTAAACTACACACATATATATATTTTTGACTTTCAATAGTATTAATTAAATAAGTAATTTTAACTGAACTCACTATTTATATTGTTGATCTCTCTTGGCTTCAATTGCACTAAGGAACAGGATGCAAAATGATAAAGAGTGACGTATTTTCCAAGTAATATTCGCTATGAAGCTCTGTTCGGCACGTCTGTCTGTCGATCCAATTTATATTCTACTGAAAATATGCGAGAACATCGAAAGATGCTGATGAGATTTTTTGCATCGTGTTGTGTACGTTTGCCTTTATGTATGTCCCTCTGTATTCGTGTGCGTCTTCCCTGCCTTGCGTTTATAATTCTGTTTGGCTGGATACGTTTATCTTATGTGTGTCTGCGCACATGTGTGTGTAAAAATTTTTAAATAATTAGTTGTTTCTCTTTATTATTTGTATATTATAAAACTAAAAAATAATACAAAATTTTATTCATATTTAAAAATATTTTAAACTATTTTTATTATAAACATTTATTCAAGCGAATTTCTTTCAAATTCAACATTATTAATTTTTTTATGTTTGCTGTTTCATCTTAACGATAATTTGAAAAATGATATATTTAAACAGTATTTTAAAAAATGATTCGTATTTATACTAAAAATACATATGTATTTATCTCATTCAAAATACAATTATGCCCCCGTTTTCCTCTCTCTCTCTCTCCACTCTTTATTATTAGCCTATTTTGTATACCTGCAATGTTAACATTTTAATTATTGCTTCTGATTTGTATATTACAAACACTTAATTACCTATATGCGATTAAAAATAGATATACAATTAAAATGATAAATCTATAAATTCTAGAGCTGTTCAAGAGTCTGTTTTTAATTTTCGTTAATCTGAGATAAGCGAACATAATTTACGACATGATTATCGTCGGACAAAATTTTTTGTTTAGTTAATAACGGCTGAACAGTAGCCAAGTAATAAATAATTGAAAAATGTTATATTGCTTACATAAAAGTTTCAATATATTTTAATTTCTTACATTTTATTAGAAAAACAAAGCATATAATTGAACATTTATGACACAGTTATTCAGTAATGTTTCTATATAATAAAATTATAAAAGAATCGTCTGAAAATTAAGTGAGAAATACGATTTTACGTACAAACGGATGATTTGAATTTAATCTATATATATATTTACATCAATTAATATATATTTGTAACTTATATATATAGCGACAATACAAGCGTGCGCCATTAATATTATATTTCCATAATTTATTTTATTATTGTCAAACTGTTAATCTGCGGGATGACGATTGCTCGATGCTATCAATATGATCATAATTTTAACTCGCCGAATTTCTATTACGTACATTATTTTATTTCGCTGTATCACTATTATGTACATAATTTTAATTCGCCGAATTTGTATTGTATTGTTTGAGAACTATTTTGTATATATGTATCTTTTTATATATTCTTTTCTAATTTTATTTAGTTTAATCAAATATAATTACGTGCGCGAGGCAAAGTTATTCTTTGATAATAAAACCTTAACAATTGCAACGCATGTGTAAAATTATTATCTATATTATATATATATATAATATAAAATTATTATATATATTCATGCATAAAAATATATTTATAATGTAATTCTAAAAAATTCAATATTAAATTTTTAACAAAAAATTATTAATTTAACAAAAAATAATATTTCTGTAATATTGATATGCAATGTGCAATATTGCAATGTTGTTGCAATATTTCTGCAAACTTGTGTGCTGTATGGGATCTGCTTTGTTCGGGATACCTAATATTACAGGGGAAAATGCCGTTGAGTTGCGTAGGATGAACGGACAATCCATAACTGAGGAGAAATTGCAGGATCAGTTATCGAAATTCTGACATATCGAGGAGGATTTTCGGCCTACCGATTCATGTAATTATATAACTCCATAAAATTACAAACTTATTATAGTTATTGTTTGCATATTCCGTTTCTTTTCGTAATGAATCATACATTTTGCGACCTCCATCCCATTCTTTCGTATATATTGTTTAAACATATTGCGAGATTCTGATAATATATCCTTTCAGTTACAGTTTTCTGGGCTGAGTGAATCTTTTTGAAGATATATATTTAAAGAAATATATATCTGTCTGATACATATATATCATCAAATATATATCAGATAGATATTATGTGTCTGTGCTATTAGAGATTTTTACATTACTGTCAGATTAGATCTCAGTAGGGCGGTACGAATATTAGTTTTGAGTAGCTAATTGTATGTATGGTCTAATCAAGGAAACCAATAAGAGTTTTGAAAAATTATAAGTTAAAAATATCAATTTATTTTAATAACTGTTACCTTTATGAAGCCCTATCAGGACCTTTATTGGTTTCCTTATTTAGACCATACATTAAATTAGCTGTTCAATTCTGATATCACCTTACTAGAACCTAATATGGCAGTAATGTAGAAATCCTTAATAGGGACTCCACGTTTAAGCCCTCAAAAACCTTGACATTTTTTAAGGTTACTCTAACAATTTTCCACATGGGAAGAGGCAAAATCCTCTTTGTGGAGTGATCACAAGTATGTATATGCACGTCAATGAAACCAGGTAGTCAGATCATTCTGCGCGACTGCGGACAATCGGTGGATGTTCTCATCCTTGGTGCTTCTCCACCAAACATTCTAATTGCCTGTACAGAGCACAAAAGAATACATATAGAAAATAGTAATTTGCCACATATTTATGTACAAACGAATTTAATTTTAAACGTATATTTAAAACCGATTTGCGAACACGGCATGTCGAGAAAACTTGTTATATTTTTAGCTGTTTAAATAAAAATATTATTCCTCTATATAATATATATATTCATATATATATGAGTAAAAATAAATTAAATAAAAATTAAAGATATTCATATTTTAAAATATAATTATTTTTACTACTTTGGACATATAATTTTTAATAGAAATATATTTATTTGAATTCATTGTATCATAATTATTATAATTTTAGTCATAAAATATTTCTTTCTATTGTATATAAATGAGATGATTTTATAAGATTATTTTGCGTTTCGTATAAAAACTCTGAAAGAAGTTTTATCAGTTCTGATAGATGAAATATTTGATTTTTCTGGATGTAAACTTTGTATCTAATATACCCAGCAAACACAGTATATAAATGTTATATACTCAAGCATGTTACATGTAACGTATATGTTAGATGTAATTTTCCACTCATAGATGTAACATTTTTAATATTACGTATATTACATTGTAGTTATATTTTCATTATATCCCAAGATAGCACTGACTTATCAATACATCAATGTGCTATTTGGTATATAATTACAATATAACAATGTAATATATGTTATATTAAAATGTTACATCTATGAGTGGGAAATTACAACTAACATGGATGTTACATGTAACGTTCCGTTACATATATTATCTGTTATACTATATTCCGTTTTATTATAGCAATGTAACAATTATATGTATATCGGTGTTTGCTGGGAGGCTATACAAGTATAAGAAAAGAATGAGTAATACTATCTTATTTATCAAAAATGATGTTTGACCAATGACGCGAGAATAATATAGAAGATGTATAGTTTTAAAAGAAAAGGTAATGATTTTATTTATATAAACTTATTGTAGTTATAACGTTAAAGTTTAATCAAATTTTACTTCTTGAAATATATTTTTTTAACTAAAATTGTATACATTTTTATTTAATATGTGCAATATTTTATTTAATACTTTTGTAAATTTTGTGTTCTCACCTCGACTAGAAGTTTCGCACATTTAACATCCGTAATTAAAGGTATCGAATAATCGACTGCTAGCCTGCTTCTTGTACAATAACCATGTGTCAAAAGATTGGAAACACGTCGAGCACCACCATTTCTCGACAGATTAATTACAAAATCAAATCTTGAGAAAAAATCAGCAACAAGTCAAAGTTCGCTCGGATACTAGAATCTTCGTTCAGTCGAAGTTTTCAAACGTCCATTGCACTGGTTCCACCTACATTACAGAAAGTTATTATAGATATAACAGCAAAGCTTAGCATGAAATTTATGAAACAAAAATAATATAAGTTAAGAGTTTAACACGGCTCTGTAATATAAATATAAATTTAAAGTGTAAGAACGGCAACAAGAGCCAATCGCGGAAGACAGCGCGCTATCCCAACGAAACTAAAAATTTTTTCGTTAGAATTAAATATCTGTGCACCAAATTTTACTTGGTCACGGCCAAGATTTTAAAATATGAAATAATCTCATATATATATATTTGAGATTTAATTTCAATAACCCTTTAACCCCCTACGGAAATAAATAAATGCAAGAGAAAAATATAGATCCGAAAGTTACTGAGGTAAATTTTTAGTTTCGTTGGGATAGCGTGCTGTCTTCCGCGATTGGCTCTTGTTGCCGTTCTTACACTTAAAAAAATAATATAATATAATCAATAAATACTTTCTTTACTTACTGTGACTCCATGTTAGTGTAGTAATCGGCATATTAGTTGTATCCCATGTTTTTCAAATTTCTGATAGAACCAAGCAATTAATTCCTTGTTGTGCTGAAATGTGTACGAAACTATTTTACCTACATCAAATATTTTTTCTTTATTATTAAATTTATTGTTTTAAGTAGATTTTAAAAACTTTAAACGTGTCGTTGACTGCTTTATTGTATAGCAGTAATAGAAGATTTCATTGTAAATATTATATATATATATATATATATATATATATATATATATATATATAAATTATTTTCTGATATATGTACAATTTAATTATCATAAAACTTCCTATAGAGAGCAAGATGTCCCTTCGGCAAATGTGAAAACCGATGCTTATCATCCCAGCAAACACAGTATATAAATGTTACATACTTAAGCATGTTACATGTAACGTATATGTTAGTTGTAATTTCCAACTTATAGATGTAACATTTTTAATATTACATATATTACATTGTAGTAATATTGTCATTATATCCCAAGATAGCACTGACTTATCAATACATCAATGTGCTATTTGATATATAATTACAATATAATTACAATGTAATATATGTTATATTAAAATGTTACATCTATGAGTAAGAAATTACAACTAACATGGATGATACATGTAACGTACACGTTATATTACCTGTTATATTCCGTATTATTATAGCAATGTAACAATTATATATCGGTGTTTGTTGAGATCTTTTTAATACACATCTCTCATAAATCCAATCAATTTTCTTTGATACGTGAATTACTTCTGTTACATATATTTTGACTTAGAAAGTTTGCAGACGTATGGAAAAAATATTATTGGGCCTATACGTATAGACCGGCTACAACATTTTTTCCATATATGTCGCCGAGTGTTTTCCGGATAAGACGATTCTGACTGTGGAAGTTTTAAATATAATCTTCATTCAACTGTATAAAAAATTATTCTTCCTTAGAAATGATGTAACATTGAGTAATGGTAAAGAGTTGATAATTTGCGTAACTTTTACAAACACATGTATTGGAATCAACATATGAAAAATATTCCCGTAAAACGCGCGAGGAAAGTTAATTATGTCGTTTTCGTTCCTAATGTGAGAAATACGCAATGTACCATTTATGTGATAAAAATGTATCGTCGATTATATATATGTACAGATATTACAAAATACATATGTCCAAAATAAATACTTAAACTAATGTACTTACATTCTTGTGTGATATGCGCTTGTCTTTCTCAATTAATAGTTTTAACCTGTTGCTTTTTCTTTCAAAGCACCCCACTATTTATTTATTTATTTAATAATTAATATATATTATTTAAAATTTTTTTAAATTTAATAATTTTTTAAATAATATATTATTTAAAAAATAAATATAAAAATTTGTTTTCCTCAATAAATAGATTTAACGTGTTAACTTTTTTCTTTCAATGCACCCCACTATTTTAGCTATTTATTGAATAATTAATATATTATTTTAAACAAAGTGATAAATATAAGGCCAACTTATCGAGCTGAATATTCGAGATGTTCAGTCAACTACCATTTATTACATGTATAAATTATAAAACTACAGTCATTATATTAAAACTAACGCAAATTACAATCATTCTATAAACGTTTCGACCGCACGCGGTCTTCTTCAGTATAATTATTGAAATATAAATTCTTACAATTCACATAATATCGAAATTTAATTATAGTTATTCAGAATCAAGAGTTTTTGAGCAATTAACGCGTGTTTCAATCCGTCCTGTCCAACAATGTTCGCCTCGATATGATCCCTGATTTTGTTCAGATCTCGGATAGTTTCATCGTTAATATGCGAGAAATTAACCCGTTCCGTAGGCGCTGCGATTAATAAAAAATTACCGATCAACGTATGTCCAAATTATAATATGTATCCCCTACAATTGGTAGTATGCTTACCTATCATCGTTCTTCTTGACAATTTTGCTACTTATTAACAGTTATTAAGGATGACACATAACAAACCAACAATACAGAAAGACAGCTCATTTTAAACTCTACTTGATCGGAGAGCGTGCGTGTTTATATATGATCTAATATCTATGTTTTACTCGTTAATGTCCTATTTGTCCTATTATTATTTCTTGTTCGCTAATATATCCAAAATATCAAAATACGACTCGCTAAGTAACTCAGTATCTTTGTTTAAATTTAGTCCATTTTTTTGTTCCTTGATATGTAGCATCTCAGAAATGAGTCTTTTATAATAATTATTTTCGTTGTCCATGATCTTAACATTGTCCCAATTAAAAGTATGATGTTCATTTATTATGTGTTCAGAAATTACTGAATGTTTCGTTGAGTCCAACCTAATATTATTTTTATGTTCTTTTATTCGCGTCTGCAATTGCCTCTTTGTTTGGCCTACATAAGATGCATTACAATTATTGCAACTGATCTTATAAACCACATTCGAATTGCATGGATGTTTAGTTTTATCTTTCTGCGCTTTAATAATATTATCCAGTTTGTTGAGACATCTATACCCTACCATACAATTTTTATTTTTTACCGAGGAAACAATCATTTCTTACGCTGGCCTTACAATGCGTCAATTTAACACAAAACGGACTGATTACTATTTTAATTTTAATTTTATTCATAGAGTTTTTGGAAGAATAACCGCAGATTATTTTAAACAATGGATTAATGCGAATTACTTGTTAATAAGAGCGAGAGCAAAATTGGAATTTTTAAGAAATTGTAAAAATGGCGATATTTTTCCTACACATTTAGAAGGTTTTTGCCGCATTAAATTTAACGTTTTTCATCACAGATCGATCAGAAGACTAGATAGTATGTTGTACAAATTCAAAACAAATGCGATGAGCATTGAAATCTTTGATTTGCATAGACAGGTAGAGTCATTACAAAATAGGATTTTTCATCTCACCAGCGGGTTATTTAATCGTTTACCTGTACTCGCGTGGAATAGAATTTTCGAACATCATAACATTGCTTTTAAAAATTGCCACAACAGATTGGTTACTGCACACGAAAAGAAATTCAATTGGCTTAAGAGAAAACAACACTATAAGTATATCAACAGCATCAAACCTATAGATATACATTGTTCTTTACATTTTGAAACTTCACAACCGACGAAAATATCACAAAATTCTCTCAGGGCAATCACTAATGATGCCAAGGAGATCAATATACACATAGAAGCCAATAAATTTCTCAATGATACAATTAACCCTTTGGAAAATACTAATAAAAAATGGTTTGTTAATCTTTCCAACACAGACATTCCGCCTAACGTTTCTAATCTGTTGCAAATGGGTGATAAATTCTGTCTTCCGAATATTAGTAAAAAAACAGCGATACATGAATTCATCAAGGACATAGAGAGTAATAGCAAACGAAATAATATTAATAATCTCACAACGATCAGAAATATCGCGGTTCCAAAATTTGCACAACTTCTGAACACGAAGGATAAAAATGACGTAAGTCAACAAAAATTACTTGGTGCACACAGAGATTTAATAAAATTTTGTAAAGACAATCCGAATGTTCTATTCACACGCGCGGACAAGGGTAATGCTACGGTGGCAATGGAAAGATCTCATTATATTAACAAAATGGAAAACGTTTTAAAAGATGTCAACACTTACACTATTGTTAAAAAAAATCCGTGCAAAAAAATAGAGAACGATTTGAATGATTTGTTGAAGAGATGGCTTAAGGAAGATTATATTTCAAAAAACGAATATTATAAATTACGTTGTAGTGATTCTCTCCTTCCAAAAGCGTATGGATTACCTAAAATCCATAAGGAAAACTATCCAGTTAGAATCATAGTTTCATCGGTTGATACAGCTCTATACTCGCTGGCTTCGTTTTTACAAAACACCTTACGAACTAGCCTACCCAAAGCGAAAAGTCATATTAATAATAGTTTTGATTTGTACAGCATATTGTCTGGTAAAAAGATTGATGAGAATGATAGGATGTTTTCCTTGGATGTGGTGTCTTTGTTTACGAACGTTCCTCTGGATCTTGCGATTGACGGTATTAACGATAGATGGGATCACATTGGAATAAATACTAAAATACCGAAAAACGAATTTTTGGGGGGTATAAAATTCATATTGACTTCTACATATTTTACATTTGATGACATAATTTATAAACAGACGTTTGGGACCCCTATGGGGTCACCGTTATCACCAATTATTGCAGACCTGGTTATGCAAGATCTTGAGGATACAGTTCTCAAAGCGTTGAATTTGGAATGTTTGTTTTATTTTCGTTATGTGGATGACATAATAGTGGCCACCTCTATGACTAATATGACTCAGATTGTGAATAATTTTAACAACTATCATGAAAGACTTAAATTCACGGTCGAACAAGAGGTTAACCATAGCTTGAATTTCTTAGATTTATCACTTAAAATTATTAATAACAAAATATATATAGACTGGTATCAAAAAGAAACCTTCTCAGGAAGGACGTTATCATTTTATTCAAACCACCCATTATGCCACAAAATTGGAATAATATATAACCTTGTAGACAGATGTCTATTGCTATCACATCCACTATTTTTTAATAAAAATTTGGAGTTAATTATTAATATACTCAGAAGCAATGGTTACCCTCTTGATCTGATTTTTAACAAAATTAATCATCGGATAGAACACATCATATCTAAGGGGAGCATTATAGAGAGACAGGCCAACATAGAAAGAACAAAAAGTATAAGAAATGACTCGGTCAATAAAAAATTCTTTGTCATTCCGTATATAGATGGGATCTCAGAAATGATTGTTTCCTCGGTAAAAAATAAAAATTGTATGGTAGGGTATAGATGTCTCAACAAACTGGATAATATTATTAAAGCGCAGAAAGATAAAACTAAACATCCATGCAATTCGAATGTGGTTTATAAGATCAGTTGCAATAATTGTAATGCATCTTATGTAGGCCAAACAAAGAGGCAATTGCAGACGCGAATAAAAGAACATAAAAATAATATTAGGTTGGACTCAACGAAACATTCAGTAATTTCTGAACACATAATAAATGAACATCATACTTTTAATTGGGACAATGTTAAGATCATGGACAACGAAAATAATTATTATAAAAGACTCATTTCTGAGATGCTACATATCAAGGAACAAAAAAATGGACTAAATTTAAACAAAGATACTGAGTTACTTAGCGAGTCGTATTTTGATATTTTGGATATATTAGCGAACAAGAAATAATAATAGGACAAATAGGACATTAACGAGTAAAACATAGATATTAGATCATATATAAACACGCACGCTCTCCGATCAAGTAGAGTTTAAAATGAGCTGTCTTTCTGTATTGTTGGTTTGTTATGTGTCATCCTTAATAACTGTTAATAAGTAGCAAAATTGTCAAGAAGAACGATGATAGGTAAGCATACTACCAATTGTAGGGGATACATATTATAATTTGGACATACGTTGATCGGTAATTTTTTATTAATCGCAGCGCCTACGGAACGGGTTAATTTCTCGCATATTAACGATGAAACTATCCGAGATCTGAACAAAATCAGGGATCATATCGAGGCGAACATTGTTGGACAGGACGGATTGAAACACGCGTTAATTGCTCAAAAACTCTTGATTCTGAATAACTATAATTAAATTTCGATATTATGTGAATTGTAAGAATTTATATTTCAATAATTATACTGAAGAAGACCGCGTGCGGTCGAAACGTTTATAGAATGATTGTAATTTGCGTTAGTTTTAATATAATGACTGTAGTTTTATAATTTATACATGTAATAAATGGTAGTTGACTGAACATCTCGAATATTCAGCTCGATAAGTTGGCCTTATATTTATCACTTTGTTTTCAATATACGAGCGACAATTGTATTAATTTATTTTAAATTTTATTAAATTAATAATTTTTTAAATAATGTATTATTTAAAAAATAAATATATAAATATATATATAAATATTTATTTATCATTAAATGTTTAATTATATATATTATTAATAATATATATATATATATATTTTTTTTTTAATAAATTAAAAATATATTGTATATTTTTTTCTTAATATATTATTCATTTATTTCTTATTAATAAATATTTTATCTATTTTTACACATTTTTACACTATTAAATCTTTGTAACGTAGGCAATAAGAATTTGAAACATTCGCGTTATCGCGCACAAGACACTGCTTACATTTCTTGTACACTTTCGTGGCTCAATCTTGACTGTGAGTTTGTTTCCAAACATATATAATAGCATTATCCCTAAATCACGATGTCCCGAGATCCGACGCCTGTCGATCGTTTCCGAATTAACAATCGGGTCTCCTCGAGAAATATTTGGTATTTCGCGAAGCTTCGCACGCGGCCCGAGAAATCGAGTGCAAATCCGAGCTCTAGACTCGATTTTAAATATATGTTTCTTTAAATTTATATTAATCTGAAAAAATCTAAAAATGAATTAAAACAATTCAATATATATTATCACTATATACCATACATATTATATTTAATGAAATATGACTTTACTTAATCATTAATATGCTCTTTTATATTTTTCTAACAAGACGGAAAACGATTAACATAATAATGAAGAACGAAGAAAGGAGATGGAGATGCGTTGTTAGGTGGCTTACTCTGTATAATATTTTATTACAGTCGAAAATTTCATGTGTTTTTTTAAATATTACAATAGATGTAAACGAAACTCGATTTAAAGGTTCATTTAAATTAGATATTTAATCATTAAATTATTGTTTAAAGATGATTGATATTTGTGAAGAGATTTGGAGCAGAATAAAGAAGAGAGAGGAAAAAAGAAAAAGGGATAAAGAGAAAAGAAAGAGAGAGAAAGAGTGGAAAGGAATAGAAGAGAGGAGGAAAAGAGAAGAAAAAGAAGAAGGAACGTGGTGTGGAAAGGAATTGAGAAAATAAGAGAAGAAAATAAGGAAGAAAGAAGAAGGTTCATGATAGTATAATGAAAAGGGTTTAGATAGGGAAGCTGGAATTAGTAGAGGATAAGTAGAAAAAGAATAGTAGATAAAGAGAAAATGCAGTGTGAAGACAAAGGGAAACAGAAAGAGAAAGAGTGATTTAGGCAGTGTAGGATATTAGGGGAGGGATAAAAAAAGTTCAGGACAATGAAAGAGGAGAAAGAATAGTCTTTGTTTTATTTATTAAAGGAAGGAGAAGATAAAGAAGGACGAAAGTATGAACCAAATGGATAGAGGAAAGAGAAGGCAAGGAAAGGATTGTAATGAAGAACAAGGATTGTAGAGGAATTTAGTAAATTGTGAGGTCGCATATGACTAGTATATTAATATGAATTTTGTTTGTAAAAAGTTTGAGACCACTCCTTATAAAAGTGCCTTGTAATTTTCACTGGGAGCACAATAAAGAATGTATGTATGTAATTATGATTTATCAACTCTGTATTTTCATCTTACATTTTTATAGATATAGCATCTTATAAGAATATATACTTTTGTTTAAAAATTAATATTTTATTTGGAAGAACTTATATTATGTGTACAAAAATTTTTAATACATTTTGTTAATATTATTTCTATAAATAAATAAATATAAATGATATAAAATAGTTTATAAATTATATAAAACTATATATAAATTATATAAATTATATATGACACATTCCGACACATGACACATTTCTAACATTATTAATTCGATATGATATTAATGTAATATAATAGCGGTTAAGATATGACTAGATAACTTATGTAACACTGAAGAAGACTGCGTGCAGTCGAAACGTCTAATTCTTTTATGTAAGATTTTGTAAATTTACGGTTTATCCGATTCGATTGATATTTTTTTTGATTTAAGAATGCTTGCTGAATATATTAAATAAATTTCTGAAGCTAACATTATATTTGGTGCTCGTTATGCTGGCCTCTTTTACTATATTGATTGTTTCAACAATATACAAGCGAATATTAAATTTATGTTAATTGTTATATAAAATATGTTATTAAACATATAAATATGTTTTATAAAATATTTTTAAAACATGTTAGATACCTAGATCAAAGACATTTTTAAATGTATGCCAATTCTTAATTATAAAATACAATTAAAAATACATGTCCATGATAATACGTTAGTCTCATTTCTTTCGAAACTGCGTCCATGTTGTTGAACTTTTCATGAATCTTCTGAAACTTAGATGAAAAATTAAATCAATAAAAATTAGAATAATTAATATTAGAAAGTTTTTCTCTTAAATTATGTGCGTTGTTTAATATTAGACAGATTCTAATTGTTACTATTAAACTTTATCTTATAATTCATACATTCGAGAGAATTCGAGAATACATGTTTAAATATTTTCCAAAAGAAACCCTAATATTTATATATATAAAAATATATATTTTCAAATTGGTGATGATATTTGCTAATTGTGTCAATCAAATGTTGATGACATGTTTAAGATTAACGAAACAAAGATTATATTTATTAACTTATAATGCTTTCAAAACCCAAATATATATACGCTATAGATAATTCATATATTTATATATTTATATGATAAAAGGGCTATATAACATGTGAATTTTATGTGCTTATTGCACATAAATAAAAGTGTTTGCAGTAATCATTGTTGTGCTTAGAAAATTTTAAAATTAGCTAAAGATGAAATGAAAATATATAAGTTTATTTTAGATAAGATAAAGAGATGTTTTAATTTAAATATTACTTAAATAAAAGATAAAATTACGTGGCGATTCATCTAGATAACTTACAGCTAATATTTTTTTTAATACCGCTTATGTATACACAGTTATAAAACAATGTAAATTATAAAAGAAATATAAAATCATATTCATACTTATGTTTATTAAAACTAAGATTAACTCGAGGCTTTTTAATGTCAAATATATATACAACTATGATTATTAAAAATATATTCACAATTATAATTTCTTTTGCTTATTTTTAAGTTCTACTAATTAAGTATTTTGAAGAGCTACAATTCTAAGCCAAATTATTTACACATTATTCTAAATCTAAATAATTTAGTGAAAATAACACTCTTTCTCATATGAGGTGCATAGATGATACTCAATTTTATTGTCTATGTAAAGATAAGAATGAGGCCAAAATATCATCTAGATATGATCATCTGTATATAATTTTATTTCTTGTTTGTTAAATACCAGTAAACATTATATGTAAATGAGAAAAAGTAAAAGGAAAAAATAATATTTAATTTAACATTTATAATGCTTTTAAAATACAAACACATGCAATATAGCTGATTTAAATATTTATAATAGTTATAACAAAAGTGCTAACACATGAATTTAATGTGCTTATTGTTCATAAAAATGCATGCAATAATTGAGAAGATATATAAAAAATAATTGTTTATTTCAATTATAAAAGCTATTTACCTTTATGGCGTTTTGATAAAAAGAATTTTTCTGCAGCTTCTCTTCCCGTCCTTATTGATTGGTGAGGAATAAATTTATGGTCAAGAACCAAGTGCCCAAATAAACATGCATACTGCATGTATGGGTGTTTTACCCAATTACAATTAGGTTCTTTGCATTGTTTCTCTAATGGTCTATTCCTGCGATTACGGGATTTTATTTTATAATATGGTGTTATCCATTTATCAATGTTTATATTGCCAGCTTTTATATGGGTTTCTACGAAATGTAGTTGCATTTCTGACATCTTAATTGAACCGAAATTATACGTTTGTTGACAACCGTCTTTAAGACATTTTGCATAGCAATCATCGCTTATGTAGAAGTAACGCCAAATCATATGAGGCCACGGGATAGTTGATCGGCTCATAGATTTCATCCAGTCAGAGTTATGTGTATCAATTATATGATAGCAGATACATCTTACGGATTTAAATAGTGATTTCTTATAGGCACATAATCTACATTGTGCAACGTTACTTTTCATTCTAAAAAATCTCATTATCCAATTCTCGTTTTTTTCTGCCATCGTCGATATGATGTTCCTTTTACTATCACCAATTGTGTTCCACGAGAAAATGTGTTTCCAGTCACGCAAGAAGTGACTCTAACTAAACAAAAGAAAAAGATCGCGAATAAATGTTCGTTTCCATCGAAAATGACACATGTACACAGTTTAAATCTACTTAATGTCTCGAATTTCCTTGTTATTTTTCATCATTTGTTTACAATAATAACATTTTGGAAGTGACAAAAATATATTTATAACTATGTTTATCAAGAGACACGGTAGTGTCTCGCGACCAGTTAAGGGCGTAGCCGAGACACCGTGTATCTTAACGCGAGTCGGACATTTGAGTCTTTATAATATTTCGAATTCTCAATAACGGCTGAAGCAATCGAGTTTATACTAGACTTAATCGATAGATTGAGTTTGAATTATATAATAAAAGTGTCTTTATTTCTGCTCTACGTGATTTGTAAGCAGAGATATATAATTGCAAAGTCGAAATATGAAAAATTTCTTTTAAGAAACGTCCCCGTCATCATCATTATTATTATCATCATCATCGACCACGCAAACATAGTAGTATCGTGCTACACGTATTCACACGTATACAACACATGCGCACACATATATCACACGTACACAACACATGAATAGATGCATGTATTGGAAATGTCCATCTCGCACGTTTTACAACAGACGGCGATAGTTGCCCTCCGCTATATTGACAGCGTGCGGGGTTAGATATTTTCAATTTCAATTTTTACATTCAATTTTAATGTTATTATTTGCAAATTTATTGTCATAATAATTTATGTGCAAGTTTACAGTCTGTGATACAAAATCAGATATTTTGCTATTATTTCAATAATATTTCAATTATATAAATGCCTATGTATGAGTATGCATATATTTTTAATAATTTTCTTAATTAGCTTCTATATTTTTTTCAGTTGTACATCAAGCAGGTAGCATTATCAGCTCACTTGTGAGCATGGGTTGGGCAATGGCTAGTTATCATCGCAGCATTCGATTAGCTTAACAAGATAAATCTAATATCAGTGCTATAGGAACTATTTTACAATTTTTCTGGCATTTTCTTATTGCAGGTACATATATATCCAATAATTAATATACAAAATTAAATATTATTCATCACACTTTGTATCAAAATATATTTTTTTAAATTTATTTTAAATTTATTTAATCATTTTTATCATTGTGATTGTAGTGGCAAGGATCTTATTGCTCAGTGTCATTGCAAGCATCTGGCCTATATATACCATAATATATTGTGTAATACATTGGCTAAGTATGACAATATAGATTTTGATAGATTCCCATGGAATATTGGAATTTTGTCGGACTTACAGTCATCCACCACATATGCAGCCTACAATTAAAGAACGCATTTATTCCATATGATTTGCTTCCGTTATTGGAATATTTAAAATAAAAATTTTATTAATAAATTTCGATGAAATAATTTATAAGAGGTTGAAGAAACTATGAAACAAATTCAGTCTCATAAAAGGGTAGTTGGAACAATAGTGGTGAATGCAGAAGGTATTACATGAGATCATTGACATGATTTACTTGTAGTTGTAAACAAAAATTTATAAAATTATATTTGTTTTAGGTATTCCTATAAAGTCAACATTAGATAATACGACAACAGTTCAATACGCAGGTTTGATAAGTCAATTGTCAGATAAAGCTCGTTCTGTCGTACGTGACTTGAATCCAACAAATGATTTAACTTTCTTGCGCATACGTAGCAAAAAACATAAAATTATGATGGCACCAGATAAAGAATTCATATTAATAGTAGTACAAAATCCAGTTGATTGATATTTAAAAGAAACAAAAATATATTTCAAAGTTAAGATTTATTTTTTTGGTTGTTAATTTAATCTGTATGCTACATTGGATGTTAATATCTATTCAATTAAATAAAGAAAAATAAAAGAATAAAGCTTAAAAATTATACAAAATGCAGTATTTAATTACTAATTTAACAAATTATGAACTTTTAGAGTTTTTAAATAGTGCTTTCTTCTTTGGTAACAATATTATATTTTTAAGTTTGATAATTATGAAAATATGTATATATAGTAATTCATGGCATGTTTATTTTTGTATTTAATACAATTATAAATGTACATTTCTCATCAATAAAATATCACAGTATCTTTTTTATAATTTAATTTTAATATTGAGATTGTTTTTATTCAGTGGAAAAAAATGTGTAGTTGGTCCCTATTAATTATACATACATATAAGAGTGTCGCACAAATAATTCTATGCAGTCTTTTTAAGATAATATAAAAATACTTATAAATATAATCAATTAAAATACATATAATCAAAATTGTATGTATTAAAATTCAATAGCATATAAAAAAGATTTTTTAAAATTATATATATATAATAAAAATCCAACATTTTATATATATATATATATATATATATATATATATATAAATATATATATATTTATTTATTGTATATCATAAATATATATTTATTTATTTATATTTACCTATCTTTTTTTTATATATATGGTAGAAATACAATGTATGAGTTATTTTATTTTGCAAAATTTTTGAAAGTTAAACTATTAATTACAATGAAATTATTTCATATAATACCGAGATTCTTTTCATAATAAAGATTAAGAGAGAGTTAGATTTTATCATAAGATTTATAAAAGTCATAAGATAAGGTTAATTGCATATTGTATAGTTTATCTCTCATTTTTTAAAGTAAATAAATATCAAAGTTACATTGCTTGAACTGGTGCGTTTGAAGTATGTTGTCTTTTTGAGGGATGCAAGACAATATAGTACAAAAGCATTGCTGTAATTCCCAAGAAAAAGGAAATGATACAAATAATAAAGATTATATTAAAGTACTAAGCCTCTTTAACTGCAGGAGGACAAGCATATTGCCATAATAAATTTGCTGCAATATTTTCAAAAAAGCAGATAACATAGAAAGATAGATGTTTTCAAAATGTTTTGCTATCTACAGCATTGAGATATATAAAAATGTGCACTATGCCAATAACGGAAGCAAATAATATGGAATAAATGCGTTCTTTAATTGTAGGCTGCATATGTGGTGGATGACTGCAAGTCCGACAAAATTCCAATATTCCATGGGAATCTATCAAAATCCATATTGTCATACTTAGCCAATGTATTACACAATATATTATGGTATATACAGGCCAGATGCTTGCAATGACACTGAGCAATAAAATCCTTGCCACTACAATCACAATGATAAAAATGATTAAATAAATTTAAAATAAATTTTTAAAAATATATTATTTTGATACAAATTGTGTGATGAATAATATTTAATTTTGTATATTAATTATTGGATATATATGTACCTAAAATAAGAAAATGCCAGAAAAATTGAATTTGCTTATTTATTTAAAGATGCTTATCATATACAAAAATGAATGATATAATCTCTAAAAACTCACCTTTAAAAAAAGGTAAAAAAAGGCGACCAGTTAAGGGCACGCCATTAACAAAAATTATCCATTGCAAACCCATGTACAATAGAATTGTATGAAAAATTATCGATTATAAACCCATGTACAATCGTAACAAAAGTAATGAAATAAAAAAAAAATTGCGCCAAGTGAAAGTAGAAACTTGTACCAGTGGAAAATTAAAGTTGCAGACATATATAGAGTCGTATAATGAATCAATAAAAATTTAAATTTGCAAATGTAGAATTGTACCATAAAAAAACTTATCTTTAAAAAAAAAGATAAACAAGATGCCAAGTCCATGCGCCATGTGAAAAAGTGTTAAACAAAAAAGTATTTTTAAGTAAAAAAATCTATCAATTGACAAAAATTTATGTTCTAAAATTAATATCTCTACAAAAAGTAATGTCCAATTATTGCGCGAATAAATAAACATTTTTATAAAAAATTAAAATTTAAAAACTTATGCAAATTTAAAATTAATATAAAATAAAAAGAAATAAAAAAATTTTAGTTAAAAAAACTGGGCGCGCTGCAATGAGTTTAAAAGTAACAATTTAATTTTAATATCATTAGAATATTATTTAGCAGCGCGCCCAGTTTTTTTAACTAAAATTTTTTTATTTCTTTTTATTTTATATTAATTTTAAATTTGCATAAGTTTTTAAATTTTAATTTTTTATAAAAATGTTTATTTATTCGCGCAATAATTGGACATTACTTTTTGTAGAGATATTAATTTTAGAACATAAATTTTTGTCAATTGATAGATTTTTTTACTTAAAAATACTTTTTTGTTTAACACTTTTTCACATGGCGCATGGACTTGGCATCTTGTTTATCTTTTTTTTTATAAGATAAGTTTTTTTATGGTACAATTCTACATTTGCAAATTTAAATTTTTATTGATTCATTATACGACTCTATATATGTCTGCAACTTTAATTTTCCACTGGTACAAGTTTCTACTTTCACTTGGCGCAATTTTTTTTTTATTTCATTACTTTTGTTACGATTGTACATGGGTTTATAATCGATAATTTTTCATACAATTCTATTGTACATGGGTTTGCAATGGATAATTTTTGTTAATGGCGTGCCCTTAACTGGTCGCCTTTTTTTACCTTTTTTTAAAGGTGAGTTTTTAGAGATTATATACATATACGCTATAAGGACAAACACACATATGTAGAGAGAATTTTTCGTTATATTTGTCCGCAAAATTCACTACAAATTTTATTATGTTTGAAAATAAGTCGAATATTAATTACTAAACTCCATGTTAAAAATTATGATAATTTCGTTATATGATCATAAATATGATTTATGCGTGCCAATAATCGATCTTCATAATGATAATAGTTACATTTTGCAGTTTTACTTTTCATTGTATAATATCTCATTAACCAGTTCTCGTCTTCAAATCTAATATCCTAACGATAAAAGTGAAAATATTATGCTGTATCTTAAAATTTATATAAAATATATGTTTATCATTTTTTCTGGCATACGTTTGACTTATGAAAACACTTCAAGGAGAGAAAATCAGAATATTTTAATATATTAAACATTCTTGAAACTTTATTATATATATTTATGTAAAAATAATTAAATTAAATTTATATCTTATTGTTGTAGATATGAATATTTTGTATCGCGGTAAATATTAATCAGAGAATTTCTTATATAATTCTTTGAATACCACATTGTCCCACGATTACATTTCAGGTTAAATTCTAAGGGAAAAAATTCTTTTTGTATACATATATATTTATTGTAAGCGCGCAAGTGGTTGACTCGATAATTTAAGGGACTGCTCGTCCTTTGTAGTGCACATGGCGGAAGATGAGAAATGGCTGAGTCATGAACGGCCTGAATACCGTGGATGTCCGTACTTAGGATAAAAGACGCTGACGATTTTGGAGCAAATGTGGAAGAGTCACTTTAACACAATTTGGTAGCACAATAAAATATATAATTAAGAATTAAAAGTTCTATTACAAAGATTTCTTCCGGAAAGACTCTCGTGTTCACGTTCCACAATATACGTCTTGTCGTTCGCACTTCCGGAAAGAGAGCAAGTCTCTCCTCATCTCTCGCGCACGCCTGGCATGCGGTCGAGCGCGCATACAATAAGATCACCCTATGTGGTGCGATGGCAGCACCGCACGGGTGGCGAAAAACGACGCGGGCGCCGGATGTCCTAGAATTAGTTGTGCGCCGCAATGTATACATATATATGTATATATGTATGTATGAATGTGTAATATGTATATGGGCATGTATGTGTATGTACGTAATGAAAAAATATAAAGAAATTGGAGACATTGAACAGATTTAAACTATACACATATATATTTTTTTCACTTTTAATAGTATTAATTAAAAAGTAATTTTAACTGAACTCACTATTTATATTGTTGATCTCTCCTGGCTTCAATTGCACTAAGGAACAGGATGCAAAATGATAAAGAGTGACGAATTCCAAGTAATAATCGCTATAAAGCTCTGTTCGGCACATTTGTCTGTCGATCCGATTTATATTCTACTGAAAATATGCGAGAACATCGAAAGATGCTGAAGAGACTTTTTGTATCGTGTTGTGTACGTTTACCTTTATGTACATCTCTCTGTATTCGTGTGCGTCTTCCCTGCCTTGTGTTTATAATTCTGTTTGGCTGGATATGTTTATTTTGTGTGTCTGCGCACATGCGTGTGTAAAATTTTTTAAATAATTAGTTGTTTCTCTTTATTATTTGTATATTATAAAACTAAAAAATAATACAATATTTTATTCATATTTAAAAATATTTTAAACTATTTTTATTATAAACATTTATTCAAGCGAATTTCTTTCAAATTCAACATTAATAATATTTTTATGTTTGCTGTTTCATCTTAACGATAATTTGAAAAATGAAATATTTAAACAGTATTTTGAAAAATATTTTGTATTTATACTAAAAATACATATGTATTTATCGCATTTAAAATACAATTATGCCCCCGCTTTCCTCTTTCTCTTCACTCTTCATTATTAGCCTATATTGTATACCTGCAATGTTAACATTTTAATTCTTGCTTCTGATTTGTATATTACAAACACTTATCTATATGCGATTAAAAAGAGATATACAACTTAAGATGATAAATCTATAAATTCTAGAGTTGTTCAAGAGTCTGTTCTTTAATTTTCGTTAATCTGAGATAAGCGAACATAATTTACGACATGATTATCGTCGAACAAAATTTTTCGTTTAGTTAATAACGGCTAAACAGTAGCCAGGTAATAAATAATTGAAAAATGTTATACTGTTTATATAAAAATTTCAATATATTTTTAATTTCTTACGTTGTATTAGAAGAACAAAGCATATAATTAAACATTTATGACACAGTTATTCAATAATGTTTCTAAAAAAATTATAAAAGAATCGTCTGAAAATTAAGTGAGAAGTACGATTTTTACATTTAAACAGATGATTTGAATTTAATCTATATATATATTTACATCAATTGATATATTTGTGACTTATATATATAGCGACAATATAAGCGTGTGCCATTAATATTATATTTCCATAATTTATTTTATTATTGTCAAACTGTTAATCTGCGAGATGACGATTGCTCGATGCTATCAATATGATCATAATTTTATCTCGCCGAATTTCTGTTACGTACATAATTTTATTTCGCTGTATCACTATTATGTACATAATTTTAATTCGCCGAATTTGTAATGTATTGTTTGAGAACTATTTTGTATATATGTATTTTTTTATATATTCTTTTCTAATTTTATTTAATTTAATCGAATATAATTACGTGCGCGAGGCGAAGTTATTCTTTGATAATAAATCCTTAACAATTGCAACGCATGTGTAAAATTATTATCGCAAATCATGCATAAAAATATATTTATTCTCAGCAAACACAGTATATAAATGTTATATATTTCAGCATGTTACATGTAACGTATATGTTAGTTGTAATTTCTAACTCATAGATGTAACATTTTTAATATTACATATATTACATTGTAGTTATATTGTCATTATATCTAAAGATAGCACTGACTTATCAATACATCAATGTGCTATTTGGTATATAATTACAATATAATTACAATGTAATATATGTTATATTAAAATGTTACATCTATGAGTGAGAAATTACAACTAACATGGATGATACATGTAACGTACACGTTATATTACCTGTTATATTCCGTATTATTATAGCAATGTAACAATTATATATCGGTGTTTGCTAAGATCTTTTTAATACACATCTCTCATAAATCCAATCAATTTTCTTTGATATGTGAATTACTTCTGTTACACATATTTTGACTTAGAAAGTTTGCAAACGTGTGGAAAAAATATTATTGAGCCTATACGTATAGACCGGCTACAACAACATTTTTTCCATATATGTCGCCGAGTGTTTTCCGGATAAGACGATTCTGCCTGTGGAAGTTTTAAATATAATCTTCATTCAACTGTATAAAAAATTATTCTTCCTTAGAAATGATGTAACATTGAGTAATGGTAAAGAGTTGATAATTTGCGTAGCTTTTACAAACACATCTATTGGAATCAACATATGAAAAATATTTCCGTAAAACGCGCGAGGAAAGTTAATTATGTTGTTTTCGTTCCTAATGTGAGAAATGCGCAATGTACCATTTATGTAATAATAATGTATCGTCGATTATATATATGTACAGATATTACAAAATACATATGTCCAAAATAAATACTTAAACTAATGTACTTACATTCTCGTGTGATATGCGCTTATCTTTCTCAATTAATAGTTTTAACCTGTTGCTTTTTCTTTCAAAGCACCCCACTATTTATTTATTTATTTAATAATTAATATATATTATTTAAAATTTTTTTTAATTTAATAATTTTTTAAATGATATATTATTTAAAAAATAAATATATAAATTTGTTTTCCTCAATCAATAGATTTAACGTGTTAACTTTTTCTTTCAATGCACCCCACTATTTTAGCTATTTATTGAATAATTAATATATTATTTTATATTTTATTAAATTTCATAATTTTTTAAATAATGTATTATTTAAAAAATAAATATATAAATATATATATAAATATTTATTTATCATTAAATGTTAATTATATATATATTAATAATATATATATATATATATTTTTTTTAATAAATTAAAAATATATTGTATTTTTTTTTCTTATATTATTCATTTATTTCTTATTAATAAATATTTTATCTATTTTTACACATTTTTACACTATTAAATCTTTGTAACGTAGGCAATAAGAATTTGAAACATTCGCGTTATCGCGCACAAGACACTGCTTACATTTCTTGTACACTTTCGTGGCTCAATCTTGACTGTGAGTTTGTTTCCAAACATATATAATAGCATTATCCCTAAATCACGATGTCCCGAGATCCGACGCCTGTCGATCGTTTCCGAATTAACAATCGGGTCTCCTCGAGAAATATTTGGTATTTCGCGAAGCTTCGCACGCGGCCCGAGAAATCGAGTGCAAATCCGAGCTCTAGACTCGATTTTAAATATATGTTTCTTTAAATTTATATTAATCTGAAAAAATCTAAAAATGAATTAAAACAATTCAATATATATTATCACTATATACCATACATATTATATTTAATGAAATATGACTTTACTTAATCATTAATATGCTCTTTTATATTTTTCTAACAAGACGGAAAACGATTAACATAATAATGAAGAACGAAGAAAGGAGATGGAGATGCGTTGTTAGGTGGCTTACTCTGTATAATATTTTATTACAGTCGAAAATTTCATGTGTTTTTTTAAATATTACAATAGATGTAAACGAAACTCGATTTAAAGGTTCATTTAAATTAGATATTTAATCATTAAATTATTGTTTAAAGATGATTGATATTTGTGAAGAGATTTGGAGCAGAATAGAGAAGAAAGAGGAAAAAGAAAAAGGGATAAAGAGAAAAGAAAGAAGAGAAAGAGTGGAAAGGAATAGAAGAAAGGAGGAAAAGAGAAGAAAAGAAGAAGGAACAACGTGGTGTGAAAAGGAATTGAGAAAATAAGAGAAGAAAATAAGGAAGAAAGAAGAGGGTTCATGATGGGTATAATAAAAAGGGTTTAGATAGGGAAGCTGGAATTAGTAGAGGATAAATAGAAAAAGAATAGAAGATACAGAGAGAATGCAGTGTGAAGAAAAAGGGAAACAGAAAGAGAAGGAGTTATTTAGGGAGTGTAAGATATTAGGAGAAGGAGAAGGAAAGTTTAGGACAATGGGAAAGGAGAAAGAATAGTCTTTGTTTTATTTATTAAAGAAAGGAGAAGATAAAGAAGGACGAAAGTATGAACCAAATGGATAGAGGAAAGAGAAGGCAAGGAAAGGATTGAAATGAAGAACAAGGATTGTAGAGGAATTTAGTAAATTGTGAGGTCGCATATGACTAATATATTAATATGGATTTTGTTTGTAAAAGGTTCAAGACCACTCCTTATAAGTGCCTTATAATTTTCACTTGGAGCACAATAAAGAATGTATGTATGTAATTACAATATGATTTATCAACACTGTATTTTCATCTTACATTTTTATAGATATTTTATAAGAATATATACTTTTGTTTAAAAATTAATATTTTATTTGGAAGAACTTATATTTTGTGTACAAAGATTTTTAATACATTTCGTTAATATTATTTCTATAAATAAATAATTTAAAATTATATTCAATGGGTTATTAAACATAAAAATATGTTTTATAAAATATTTTCAAAACATGTTAGATATCTAGATTATAGACATTTTTAAATGTATGCCGATTCTTAATTATAAAATACAATTAAAAAATACAAGTAACTAAATAAAAATCTTGATGTAAGTTGCTTAATTAAAAATATAATTAAAAAATATACGTTTTGCCGTTCATTTAAAATAATTAGACATAATAAAAATAAAATAAGATCATTTACGCTATATATTATAAAGATAAAGCGATAAAATCAAGATATGAATTTCTTATTTCATTTGATTGTCCATGTCCATGATAATACGTTAGTTTTATTTCTTTCGAAACTGCATCCATGTTGTTGAACTTTTCATGAATCTTCTGAAATTTAGATGAAAAATTAAATCAATAAAAATTCAGAATAATTAATATTAGAAAATTTTTCTCTTAAATTATGTGCGTTGTTTAATATTAGACAGATTCTAATTATTACTATTAAACTTTATCTTATGATTCATACATTCGAGAGAATTCGAGAATACATGTTTAAATATTTTCCAAAAGAAACCCTAATATTTATATATATATATATATATATATATATATATATATATATTTTCAAATTGGTGATGATATTTGCTAATTGTGTCAATCGAATGTTGATGACATGTTTAAGATTAACGAAACAAAGATTATATTTATTAACTTATAATGCTTTCAAAACACAAATATATGCGCTATAGATAATTCATATATTTATATTTTTATATGATAAAAAGGCTATATAACATGTGAATTTTATGCTTATTGCACATAAATAAAAGTGTTTGAAGTAATCATTGTTGTGCTTAGAAAATTTTAAAATTAGCTAAAGATGAGATGAAAATATATAAGTTTATTTTAGATAAGATAAAGAGATGTTTTAATTTAAATATTACTTAGATAAAAGATAAAATTACGTGGCAATTCATCTAGATAACTTACAACTAATATTTATTTAATACCGCTTATGTAAACACAGTTATAAAACAATGTAAATTATAAAAGGAATATAAAAACATATTCGTATTTATGTTGATTAAAACTAAGATTAACTTGAGGCTTTTTAATGTCAAATATGTATACAACTATGATTATTAAAAATATATTCACAATTATAATTCCTTTTGCTTATTTTTAAGTTCTACTAATTAAGTATTTTGAAGAGCTACAACTCTAAGCCAAATTATTTACACATTATTTTACATCTAAATAATTTAGTGAAGATAACACTCTCTCTCATCTAAGGTGCATATATGATACATAATTTTATTATCTAAGTAAAGATAAGAGTGAAGCCAAAATATCATCTAGATATGATAATCTGTATATAATTTTATTTTTTGTTTGTTAAATACCAGTAAACATTATATGTAAATGAGAAAAAGTAAAAGGAAAAAATAATATTTAATTTAACATTTATAGTGCTTTTAAAATACAAATGGATGCAATATAGCTGATTTAAATATTTATAATAGTTATAACAAAAGTGCTAACATTTGAATATAATGTGCTTATTGTTCATAAAAATTCATGTAAATAATTGAGAAGATATATAAAAAATAATTGTTTATCTCAATTATAAAAGTTATTGTTATTTACCTTCATGGCGTTCTGGTAAAACGAATTTTTTTGCATCTTCTCTTCCCGTCCTTATTGATTGATGAGGAATAAATTTATGGTCAAAAACCAAATGTTCAAATAAACATGCATACGGCATGTATGCGTGTTGTACCCAATTGCAATTAGGTTCTTTGCATTGTTTCTCTAATGGTCTATTCCTGCTGTTACGGTAAATTATTTTATAATATGGTCTTATCCATTTATCTATGTTTATATTGCCAGTTTTTATATGGGTTCGTACAAAATGTAGTTGCATTTCTAGCATCTTAATTGGATCAAAATTATACATTTGTTGACAATCTTCTTTAAGACATTTTGCATAGCCATCATCGCTTATGTAAAAGTAACGCCGAATCAAATGAGACCACGAGATAGTTGATCGGCTCATAGATTCTTTCCAGTCAGAGTTATGTATATTAATTAAATGAATGCGCATAGGTTCTACGGATTCAAATAGTGATGTCTTATAGTCACATAATTTACATTCTGCAATTTTACTTTTCATTCCAAAAATCTCATTATCCAATGCTCGTTTTTTTCTGCCATCGTCGATATGATGTTCCTTTTACTATCACCAATTGTGTTTCACGAGAAAATGTGATTCCAGTCACGCGCGAGAAGTAACTCTAACTAAACAAAAGAAAAAAACCGCGAATAAATGTTCGTTTCCATCGAAAATGACACATGTACACAGTTTAAATCTACTTAATGTCTCGAATTTCCTTGTTATTTTTCATTATTTGTTTACAATAATAACATTTTGGAAGTGACAAAAATATATTTGTAACTATGTTTATATACATATACGCTATAAGAACAGACACACATATGTAGAGAGAATTTTTTGTTATATTTGTCCGCAAAATTCACTACAAATTTTATCATGTTTAAAAATAAGTCGAATATTAATTACTAAACTCCATGTTAAAAATTATGATAATTTCGTTATATGATCATAGATATGATTTATGCGTGCCAATAATCGATCTTCATAATGATAATAGTTACATTTTGCAGTTTTACTTTTCATTGTATAATATCTCATTAACCAGTTCTCGTCTTCAAATCTAATATCCTAACGATAAAAGTGAAAATATTATGCTGTATCTTAAAATTTATATAAAATATATGTTTATCACTTTTTCTGGCATACATTCGACTTATAAAAACACTTCAAGGAGAGAGAACATCAGAATATTTTAATATATTAAACATTCTCGAAACTTTATTATATAAGATATGAATATTTTGTATCGCGGTAAATATTAATCAGAGAATTTCTTGTATAATTTTTTTCCAATACCACATTGTCCCAAGATTACATTTCAAGTTAAATTCTAAGGGAAAAAATTCTTTCTGTATACATATATATTTATTGTAAGCGCGCAGTTGGTTGACTCGATAATTTAAGGAATTCCTCATCCCTTGTGGTGCCACATGGCGAAAGATGGGGCCTGAATACCGCAAATGCCCGTACCTAGGATAAAAGACGCCGAGTATTTTGGAGCAAATGTGGGAAAATCACTTTAACACAATTTGGTAGCACAATAAAATATATAATTAAGAATTAAAAGTTCTATTACAAAGATCTCTTTCGGAAAGACTCACGTGTTCACGTTCCGCAATATACGTCTTGTCGTTCGCACTCCTGGAAGTGCGCGCAAAAGGATCACCCTATGTGGTGCGATGGCAGCACCGCACGGGTGGCGAAAAACGACGCGAGCGCCGGATGCCGCAGAATCAGCTGCGGGCCACAATATATACATATATATGTATATATGTATGTATGAATGTGTAATATGTATATGGGCATGTATGTGTATGTACGTAATGAAAAAATATAAAGAAATTGGAGACATTCAACAGATTTAAACTATACACATATATATATTTTTCACTTTTAATAGTATTAATTAAAAAGTAATTTTAACTGAACTCACTATTTATATTGTTGATCTCTCCTGGCTTCAATTGCACTAAGGAACAGGATGCAAAATGATAAAGAGTGACGTATTTTCCAAGTAATATTCGCTATAAAGCTCTGTTCGGCACGTTTGTCTGTCGATCCGATTTATATATTTTACTGAAAATATGCGAGAACATCGAAACTGCTTAAGAGACTTTTTGTTGTGTACGTTTAATTTTATATATGTCTCTTTGATATTCGTGTGTATCTTTTTTATCTTGTGTTTATAATTCTGTTTGCCTGGGTACGTTTATAGTATGTGTGTCTGCGCATATGTGTGTGTGTGTGTTAAAGTTTTTAAATAATTATTTTAATTATTTTAATTGTTTCTTTTTATTGTTTGTATTGTATAATTGAAAAAATAATATTTTATATATATGTTTATTATTTCAAACTTTTTATATTATAAACATTTATTTAAGTGAATTTCTTTCAAATTCAACATTAATAATTTTTTTGTGTTAAAGTATTATCTTAACGATAATTTGAAAAATGATATTTTGAAGCAGTATTTTGAAAAATGATTCGTACTTAAACGAAAAATACATATGCATTTATCGCATTCAAAATACAATTGCCCTCGTTTTTCTTTTTTTCTCCACTTTTCATTATTAACCTATCTTGTATATTTGCAATATTAACATTTCAATTCTTGGTTCTAATTTGTATATTACAAACACTTATCTATATGCGATTAAAAAAAGATGTATAACTAAGATGATATATCTATAAATTCTAGACTTGTTCTACAGTCTTTTGCTCTTTAATTTTTTTTAATCTGTGATAAGCGAAAATAATTACCGAATACATGATTATCGTCGGACAAATGTTTTCGTTTAGTTAATAACGACTGAACAATAGCTAAGTAATAAATAATTGAAAATTGTTATATTGCTTATATAAAAGTCTCAATACATTTTTAATTTCTTACGTTATATTAAAAAAAAAGCATGTAATTGAACATTTTTATGATACAATTATTCAGCAATGGTTCGAATAAAATTATAAAAAAAGTCATCTCAAAATTCAGTGAGAAATACGATATTTGTCATAAAAACGGTTGAATTTAATCTCTATATATACATCAATTAATATATTTGTAACTTTTATATAACGACTATACAAGCACGCGCCATTGATATTATTTCCATAATTTATTTTATTATTTTTAAACTATTAATATTCGGGATGACGATTGCTCGATGCTATCAATATGATCATAATTTTAACTCGCCGAATTTCTATTACGTACATAATTTTATTTTGCTGTATTACTATTATGTACATAATTTTAATTTGCCGAATTTGTTTGTATTGTTTGAGAACTATTTTGTATATATATATATATCTTTTTATATATTCTTTTCTAATTTTATTTAGTTTAATCGAATATAATTACGTGCGCGAGGCGAAGTTATTCTTTGATAATAAAACCTTAACAATTGCAACCCATGTGTAAAACAGTATTATCGCAATTCATGCATAAAAATATATTTATTATGTGACAACTGGTCACGTAATTTCGGCTTCGCGCTCGCGATACTTCACACGAGAATCAGTTTCGCGCCAACCGCGCAGCGTGACGGATGTAGGGGGTGTGGAGTTTTGCGCGAGTTTAAAAGCGTAAATATTTGATCACAAAAAGATCTTGTAAAAAATTATATTTCTTTGTTTATATGTTTTGTTAAAAATTCAAATATAAAATTTTTATATGCATTGTATAATTTATTAATATATTTTTTTATGCATTGATTGCAATAATAATTTTTGTATGCATACGTCGCACTGTTTGAGATTTTGTAATTGAAGAATCAATAATATAACTTCGTTTTGTGCATCTAATTATATTCGATTAGATTATACAAAGTGATATATATACATATATATACACACATGTATATATATATCATTTTATAATATTATGATTTTATATATTCATATATATATATATATATATATATATATTCATATATATGTATATACGTAAATATACCTATTACCATTGTGCATCCGCCCGAAAATTCTATATCGTGACTATATAATGTCATTGTACGTTAGATAAAGATATATAATTTATAGTGGCTGGCCATTCAGCAGCGACTGTATCAATTTGTTTGATCATTGATCGAATATTATTCTCCTGTCTTTGTATTCTGACAGTTAATTCGGACATTTTCAGATCTTCGAGAGCGGGTATTTGTTTGTCCGAAAAACCGTTCTGCTTTGCGCCCAGCAGCAAGTCCTACGAAAATTTTGTACGATCGATGTTTTCTAAAAACACATAATAATCGATAATGTTCTTCATCTTTTCAAGAAACCAGCAATTAATTTTTGTGAGTTCGTATAAGCCATCGATTATGTAACCAACCTTGATCGAAGCAGCGAGAACAAACATTCTTTCGTCAGTCGGTTTTTCCAATTCTTCATCGTTGATTGCTATCACATAAAGATCGAAGCCATTCACATTTTCATCAACCATTTTTAATGCTTTTTGAAAAATTTTCTCGAATGTACGTCCAATCGCCATTACTTCGTCTATACTCTTCATAGAACTGCCAATCTGAAAAATAAGTATTTGATATTAAAGATATAAAGAACAATCGATTAAAATCAATTATATACAAATAAATATATATATATATATATATATATATATATTTATATTGTAAAATAAAAAAGTTTTATATTTTTTCTGTAATTAGCTCTTTATATACTTTATTGTGACTCTTTTAAAATATCATATAATATATACATATAGATTGAAGAAATACATATTTCCTTTGTTTCATTTTCAAATATATAATAGATAATACGAATAATAATATAACATCGTATAAAGTATTACAAAAATTATCTAACGTTTAACGTTTTTTAAAAAATTCAAAATTAAAGAATTTTTATCCATTACTTTGATGCTAAAATTTGCACAACGAAATTTTTTAAAGTTCCATCTAGGTATTTTAACTACACAATAATCAAGACTTGGCTCAAAACGAGCTGTTGTTTTGCCAGTGACAGAATTACGCATATAAAATTAATGTATAAGAATTTGCTGCACATATTATTTTTAATAAAATTGTAATTTTACGAAACTATAAAAAACATTAAGCTGTAAAACAATGTCATGTCGTTTACTTATATATATATACCTTTTGAACGACAGCATTTGGTGCGACTCTTTCATTTATCTCTCTAACACGATCTGCAGATATTATTCTGTCTTCAGTTTTTATGATAGATTCGATCGGCCTTCCTAAAATTTTAACATTGTAGTACGCAAACACGTTGTTTCTCTCAAGATCTATGCCACAGTTAAAGGCAGTTTGTCCACCGAATGTTAATAGTACGCTATCCGGTCTCTCCAATCGTATTGCCTAATACAAATGATTAAAAAAAAAACGTTCTTTTTATTTTCTATAAGAAGATTCTTAATATGAAATATCCACAGAAAAAGTTAGTAATTATAAATCTTCACAATTATTTGTTGATCGCCAGTGATAAATTTTAACAAATATTAAAATGCAATTTAATTCGACCAGAAACTGGCTATTCATTTATTGAAAATACACGTAACGTGTGTACTTATTTTCAATAAATGAATAGCCGGTTTTTGGTCGAATTAAAATGCATCTTATTATTTAGTAATTATAAGTTATTAATTAAAAAGTTTAACCTTTAAATGTATAATTTAGCTTACCTGCTCGACATATTCTGGTGTAATTAGCAAGAAATACATTTTATCGGCTATGCCTTTTGATGTTTGTATCGTATCGATCCTAAGATTTATCAAAATAAACTCTTGAACGACAGCATTTGCTGCGACTCTTTCATTTATCTCGCTAACACGATCTGCAATTATTTTTCTGTCTTCAGTTTTTATGATAGATTCGATCGGCTTTTCTAGAATTTTAACATTGTAGTACGCAAACATCCCATTTCTCTCAAGTTCTAGCCACAATTAAGGGCAGTTTGTCCACCGAATGTTAATAGTACGCCATCCGGTCTCTCCGATCGTATTACCTAAATCAAATGATTACAAAAATTATTTTTTTCTCCGATAAAAAGAAAATTCCTAGTATGAAATATCCACAGTAAAAGTATATTTGGGATAATAAACCAAATATATTAGTAAGTATAAGTTATTAATTAAAAAGTTTAATCTTTAAATGTATAATTTGGCTTACCTGCTCGACATATTCTGGTGTAATTGGCAAAAATAAACTTTATGGGCCATGCCTTTTGATGTTCGTACCGTATCGATATTAGGATTTATCAAAATAAATTGTGTCGATTTTTCCTTTAATGCTTTTATTGCCTATGAGAGCCCGAATAATCAAATTCTTTCGCTTGGCCAACGCTGAATCCTCCGGAGCCCAAGATTAGCACTTTCTTAGGTCGTTCGAATGTAATTACTTCATTAAATGTTTAATTATCTATATTATTAATATATGCGTATATATATATATATATATATATATATGTAACAAATTAAAAATATATTGTATTTATTTTTTTTCTTAATATATTATTCATTTTTTTATTGTAAATAAGTATTTTATATATTTTACACATTTTTGCACTATTAAATCTTTGTAACGTAGGCAAGAAGAATTTCAAACGTTCGTCATCGCGCACAAGACAGTGTTTACATTTCTTGTACGCTTTCGCGTCTCAATCGTGACTGTAAGTTCGTTTATTATCCCAAAATCTGATGTCTCGAGATTCGACGCCTGTCGATCGCTTCCGAATTAACGATCGGGTTTCCTCGACAAATATTAGGTATTTCGCGAAGCTTCGCACGCGACCCGAGAATTCGAGTAGAAATCCGAGCTCTAAACTAATAATTTTAAATATATGTTTCTTTAAATTCATATTAATCTTAATAAAACTAAAATAAATTAAAACAATTCAATATATATTATCATTATATACCATACATATTATATTTAATTAAATATAACTTTACTTAATCATTAATATGGTCTTTCATCCTATATTTTTTAACAAGACGGAGAACAGGTAACATAAAATTGGAGAACAAAGAAAGGAAATGAAAATGCGTTGTTAGATGATTTACCCTGTATAATATTTTATTACAGTCGTAAATTTCATGTGTTTGAATGAGCGAGTTTTCGTGAAAAAAATTGTCTCGACAAATGCGTTTGCCTCAAATATTTTGTCATGTTTAATAAAATTTTCGCTTTTCAGGGAGAAAATATTAAAACTCGCACCTTATTATTTTGTTAAATAATAGATGCAATATATAAAGATAAATTTAATAGAAAAATACTAATTGCCGATCTGAATCAGAAACCT